ACTGTTGCCGATGGTACATCGATATGTCTGCTTAGGGCTCTTTCTCACAGAGACATCGTTTTTTGCAGGATCCCGTTTAGTAGAACTTTCCGTTTGTAGTGTAACCAATCCTTTCGAATTTGGGATTCACAAAAAACCAATCCGTTCGAACTTGGAAATCAGATTTCAAATAAAGACTTGGGTGTTCACACGTCGTGAGAAAGGGCCCTTAGATAGTTCTGTCTGCCAGCAATAGTGATTCAAGGCCTCTTAAATACATCGAACTCGGGGGAAGGTAACCATTCTTGAATCTTAAGTAGTGTACTAATTAATTTTTTGAGCTTCGTTTAGGAGAGAGACATGGGTAAACTGATTTGGTACAACTCATTTCATAGTGCCAGGTGTGTTGAATCACTTCTTCAAATTGTTATTTTCTATTTACATTTTACTTTACTAACTACCTGTTTAGCGTAGAGCTGTGACAAAAAGCTAGAACTGGTGTTTTTTATCAAAAGGAATCAATACCAGAACCAGGAATAACTGAGTTGTTGCAAGAACATTTTGCTTTGAGTTTTTTTTGTTGAGCGTCTATTCTAGTTCTATAAAGTCCTAGTAATACTGCGACCGGTATCGATCTATTTTGCTTTGACTGTATCACAAGGTTAAATATCTCAAAAAACTCACGGCGTATAACTCTTCTGCTGTTCCATCTTCTCCTTAAAGTCCTTAGGCAGGACCCAACCATCGTTGTTGGCGTCAATCTCCTGGAAGCTGGCACTAGACGTCAGGTCTTTGAGCTTCAGGAACATGTCGAAGTATTTCAGGATTAGCTCCACGTTAGAAGCAGACTCTACGAGGGTGTCCACCATTTGTTTTCCGATCGTGCCTGCAGATGGGTTAGAATGGGTTATGATTTTGACTTCAAGCTTAATAAAGTATAGCAATTAAAATGGCAATTTATACAGGATGGAAACGATGATCTCACTCGGTTATTTCTAAACTATACAAGACTAGCTTTTGCCCGCGGCTTCACCCGCGTGTAATTTCGTTTGTCACAGATCGTCATAAATTATATCGCGAATATATGATCGCCTATATGTTATTCTGGGTTATAAACAATAATACTGTAAAGTTTCATCAAAATCCGTTCAGTAGATTTTGCGTGAAAGAGTAACAAATATCCAGACATCCAAACTTTCGCATTTAAAATATAAGTAGGATATAAAAAAAACTAGTTACTGATCTTGAAAGTGCTATCAAACGGTATCAATTCCGAAAATTCAACGTTTCCAGCTTTTCGATATCTTGTATAATTTAGAAAAAAATATAATAAAAAAATAACTTTTTTAAAAACAAGCTTTATGCTGAAATGCAGTTGTACTAAAACGAAAAAAATAATTGTATTCTTAATAATTGCTTCAAAGAATTTCGAAAACTTGTAGCGCGCATGGAATTTATTCTTCTTTTTTTCTGTTTGCGCTACATAAATTAGGTGTGATTGCGGTCAAATATCTGAACTATTTAGGACTGATTTTTCAATCATCAGATAAATTTTAACTGAAGAATATACTTGTTATTTTGACATATTTCTCATACTGAAACTGTCAATGTGCCAAAATTATTCTTCAGTTAAGTAAAAGTTATCCGACTATTGAAAAATCAGCCCTAAGGCTGGGTTGCACCATCTTACTTCTTGTCTTTTAACTTTGACAAACGTCAATAATCTGTCCAACTCCATACAAAAAGCACCGGATCGTCATAGTTACCGTTAAAGTTAGGTGTTGAAAGTTATCAGTCCAGCCTAGGCGCATACTGCATTTTTGTCGGCCGATAGTTTAGTCGGGCAGTTAATCAGTATCGACTAAAAATCGGTGGTCTGCGCATAGGCTTATAATCTATTTACTAACCGTTGACGACGTTTCCTTCCAGCATAGACAGCATCATTGTGATCATGTCCTTCTGTAGGTTAAGCAGTTCCTTCAGCAGGTCCACTTGTGAGGAGTGCTTGGACAGCTTGTCTTGCATGTGGGAGAAGAGAAAGAGGAAACCGCCTACCGCGTCCCACAATCTGGTGAAGAATTATGTGAAGTTAAAGTCTTAACACAGAAGCAAGTTCAAATTTTTGTATTGTTTTGGATCTTAAATTAAGGGAAAAGGATTAAAAAATATGGTGGGAATTATATTCCCACTAAGTCATTAATGGTTAATTGGTTTATCGATATGTTTAGTTAATCCTTTATAAGGCCAAGGTTGGGTTGCACCATCTTACTTTAACTTAAAAATCTGTCTAATTCCATACAAAAAACACCGGTTATCGTTATAACGTTTAAAGTAAGATAATGAAACTCAGCCTAAGTGAACTGTTTATTTACTGAGACATGTTTTACGGTCAATAGGCTCGATGACAAAATTTCAATTATTTGTCCGTCAGACAGATAATTAGAAAATATTAGACTCTTATATTTTTTATTTTCTTTCATAATTCAATAATAACAGTCCTACATCGAGTTGAACGACGTCACGCGACATTTCAACTCAATATAATACTGTAATTATTGGATTATGGAAAAAAATAAAAAATATGAGTCTAATATTTTCTAATTATCTGTCTGACGGACTAAATAGAATTTCGATTTCATTACCCAGTCATCATCCCTATTCAGACAGTTTTATGGCAGTTTTTACAGCGCCCCTAGCGGTTACTTTCTATTAGCGTAATTTTCAAGAACTAAAGATGCTTAACTGCCTCTGAACATGCACATAACGCGTTGTTTGTTTTCCTTATAAATAATAGTATCGTACCTGGAATGTGCCAAAGCCTGTTGATTCTGGGTACACGGTCCCTGGATGACTTCAGTGAGCGTGTTGAATACTTGTGACGCAACGCCGATCGCCTTGAAGAAGTTGGCTTTGCCCGCTGGGTCTATGAGTTCCTGATGAAAAATATCAACGATTATTTTGAGATTACAGTAAAATTGACAACTAACTTGACAACTTTTACGGGCCAAAATTTCTCGAAGATAGTGCGACTTTTCCCTGAAAAAGTTTTGACGTATAGTAGAACAAAATGTGATTTATACATAGTTACAGGATTATCGTTAATTTTTTGGACCCATTGGTATCCTCGTTTATTGAGGCATGCTTGAAACAACGTCCGAGAAATTGCAAAAGAATGTAGTAAATACAGTATTCAAATTCAATTTATTTGCTAGAATACATTTTCACAATATAGACAATGTTAGCTCATGCTCATGAAATGAATGCCTTGCGTTCCGCCGGCTAGTTTAGGCGGAAGAAAGAAGAAAAAGGCTTTCAGATCAACGTGTAATTAACCTCAAATACTATGAAGACTAAGGCCCAGAACAGACGGTGAAACGCAACTGCAACGAAACTGCAACTGCTAGTTACTTTTGAGTTCCATATAAGTTTCTGCCATAGCGTCCGTTGAGAGACCACACATGACGCGACTAGTTTGAAACTTTCAGTTTCAGTTTCATTCATCAGAATCATGAGAAATTTGCAGTTTCGTTGCAGTAAGACCTAAGGCCCAGAACAGACGGTGAAACGCAACTGCAACTGCTAGTTACTTTTGAGTTGCCTCTAAGTTTCTGCCATAGCGTCCGTTGAGAGACCACACATGACGCGACCAGTTTGACCATTTTAAAACTAAGTGTAAATAAATATTTTTAATTTGCATTAAATATGACACCATTGTTACACTATGAAATACTAGAATACTAACCGGCCACTGCAAACTAAACAAACACAAATCAAACATGAACATGACCGAGGAAACTCTGTGCAGATTCTGCCACACAGAAGAAGAAACGGCCATGCATGTTCTTTGCTCATGCTTCCCGCTTATGAGCAAAAGAAGTATCCATCTCGGGCGACACATCATGCACCCGGATGAGATAGCAGATATCACGCTCCAAAGAATCTGGAAATTTATAGACTCAACGGGACTAAGCAGTGAACTCTAAAGACAAGGGCTGCCACAATAGATCAAACCTGGTCGAGCTGGCGCAAATGAAGGCCCAAAACCAATAATAATAATAATACACTATGAAATATAAGAAGAATAAAATATATTTTACCTTGCTAGAATAATGCCAGTAGAAGTCCATAATAGACTCCTGCAGCCTCAGCAGGTAGTCCACGGTGCAGATGACCACGTTGACCGTGGTTGTGTTACCGGCTTGCGTTCTGAGGTAGTTCTGCCATTCTGTCAAACATAACAGAGTAAATAAGTTAACTGGTAGATAAATGATACATCGCATTGAGTTTACCCTGATGTATCAGTTTATATGGTAGGTACTAGCTTTCCGCCCGCGGCTTCGCTCGCGTGGAATTTAGTTTGTTAAAATTTCCTGAATTTTCTATGCTATAAACCTCACGGAGCCCGAGACCTTTCCAACGAATGCAAACCGTGGAAATCGGTTCGTGCGTTCTGGAGTTATAGCGTCAGGGAGGAAAACCCGACTTATTTTTATATAGTAGACTAATAGTTATTGGTGTCAACTACTCAATGAGGGCTACCGAGTTTGGGCTCACTAGTTGGATTTAACGTACCTTTATAGAGTAAGGTCTTGTCACTCGCTAGTGGCTAAGACAGTCAGTGGCGCCAAATGGTGAGTGCTGAAGCGGTTCGACTATTGCATTTTTACACACTAGGTTGGCGCCACTGTAAAGTAATAGTGAGCGAAAAGACGATAGCCCTCATTGTGCCACACCAGGTTTTCTGACCTTAATTGTAGCAATCTACAAGGTAAAAGAAGGTAAAAACTGGTACACCACGATGTAAGAATAGTTACTGTTATGTACGGGATTGCTACCATGTAGGTACCTTTATAAAAAGTACATAATTACCAGTTACTCCGTGATCATGGCGCTTGGAACCGTGCCGAAATATCAGAGGCTCGTAAATAAATAGGTAGGTACATGCTATGCTAGCAATCCCGAAAAATTATTCTAATGTCGGTGACCATGAAAGTTTAAAATAATATACCACGATATGTTACTTACCCAAGTTGTGTCCCTCACAAGTCAGCTGTATAAATCTGAACAGGGCACATGTGAATTCCGCATCATGCATGTTCTTCTCGCCTGCCGCTCCTTCTAGTCCCACGCCCAGGCCTGGGAATGATTAAAAATGTTAGGAATATTGCTCTCGTTCCCACCGCTGCAACTCCTGTGTAGCGAGGACCTACAGCTTGACCGCCAATAAAAACCCAAGCAGTGAAGGTCAAGTTTGTTCTGGGAGAAAATTAAACTGTCATTGGACCCGGAACGAAATTAATCACAAGAACAATCTGTACAACGTGCTCCTTTTGTTTTTCGGAAATTTTAGGGGTATATACTATAAATAAAAACTAGTTAAAGAGTCTTCGGAATATGTGTTTCTAAAAGCATATTTTTGATTCTATTTTAGATTATAGTATCATCAATCAATTTTATTTTTCAAAATTGTCACCTAGTCTTTTTGTACAGACTTTTTATTGATAAGTGTATGTAAATTATGAATTATTTCAGTGAAAAATAAAGTTTTTAAATAAATTCGTATGAAAAAATAAGTCGAAAAAAATTGTTGAATTTAACAAAAAATGTAATGCCATTCCATTCTTTGAAGTGATCTTATTAATACCCTAGAGTTCCAGGAAATCAAAAAGAGCACGTTGTATAAATTGATTAGTTAATTAATAAGTCGTGTCATACCTTCAGCTTTGGTGTTCCTCTCGAAGGCATCCAGGTCGAGCACTGAACAGGAGTTCATGAGACCAGCGATGGACGTGAAGAAGCCGACGTCCTTTTTGTCCTTGAGATGATTCAACATGCCCTACGGATTAGACACAGAGAGTTAGCTTGTAACTTTGGTTTGAAATTGTAACACAATACAGAATAAGTACTTGAGTTTTCTAATATGATTTTATAACTGAAAGCTTTGATTAATCATCATCATCATTTCAGCCACAGGACGTCCACTGCTGAACATAGGCCTCCCCCAATGACTTCCACATCGCCCGGTTGGTAGCGGCCTGCATCCAGCGCCTTCCTGCTACCTTTATCAGGTCGTCGGTCCACCTTGTGGGTGGAAGTCCCACGCTGCGTTTTCCGGTGCGCGGATTCCATTCCAGAACCTTGATTAATGGTTAGGCATATTTCAGTTAGAAAAAGATGTGGAACTGTCTCTTTTAGAGCAGACTTTTTACAAGTTAAGAAAAAGAAGGTGTTTTTTGTGAGAGTGCAAAACGACTTCGACTTGTAAGGAGATTATTTCCGTATTTTGGGATATTCTTCCGTTGAAGGGAGGAATCGGGTGATTAAAGGTTTCAAAAACTCTTCATCTACGAGTGTAGTATACTTTATACTCATAGTTTGTGAAGTAGGAAGGGTGTTTGTTATTTATTTATGCAAATCTGGATGAATTTTGACATAGCGCACATACGCTACAAATCTTTTGGTTTCATTTTATTAATACATATGGAGACCAAGTCACGGGTAAATTACGGATCACACTTGTTTTTTTCCTTACCATCTGAATGTCAATGTTGCCTCCTCTCAGGATAGAGATGCCAAGTTCCAACGTCTTCATGACCATCTCACTTGGCACGCCTTTGGAAGCGGAGATATGTAGGAGAACCATCTCCGCCACGCCTCTGTCCGCTAGCCTGGCTTGATGGAACAGTAGCTTCTGTTTTTCCATTTCTTGCTCCTGTGAGTTGAATTTTTGAATTTCAGTCAATAAGTTTAGTGCCAAAAAGGTTTACTTTTTTCCAGAATGAAAATTCAATTATCTAGCTTTTAGTTGTTGCACCTTTTGTTGTATTTAATTCATAGTGTGAAAGTAGAATTACTATTTTCAAGGCCAAAGAGTTCAATAACTTATCTTTTCGAGGGTTAACAGTTAAAATAGTTCAGTCATATTATCGCTTGAAATTATGTGAATCATGTCATTTATGATAGGACCTGAACCTATAAGTTTTTGCTGGCTAGGCTTACTGTAAATATTAAATGCATTTTACGTTGTTTTAAAAATTGTGGACGAATTATTATGCCTAAATAAGTTACATACCATAAAAGTTTCCATAGTTTTCTGCATGCAAGCATAAGTTTTAGGTTAGTTATTACAGTGTTCAAGAAAAAGATATAAAGGTTGAGCAATTGCTACTTAGTAGCATGTGTGTCGAGACAAAAGCATGCTCATTTCGATTTGTTCGAGCACGCTCATTTTAAGCATGTTAATAAGCATGACATTTTATGAGCATGTGTAACCCTGCCCTTGATAGTTAAAAAGGCGCAAATAACACCAAATCCAATTGGAGATAAAAAAGTTTCAAATAATTTTAATGGGTAATTCTTACCTGTTCTTGAGTTTAACACATACCCGAAAAAAAGTGTTAGATATGTCTTTCCAAGTATCGGGGGCAGTTACTGCACTTTAAATGACTTTAATGTTATTTCCAGAGAGATATAGAGAGATGCCAACTATGCGCTGAGTTCGAAACTCAGTGTCGCATTAGAAATTCAAATAGTAATCGAAATATGCAAGGATGCAAGCGGCGCAGGACCGGTCTTTGTGGAAATCCTTGAGGGAGGCCTTTGTCCAGCAGTGGACGTCTTTCGGCTGAAACGAATCGAAATATGTGCTCATTATCCACTGCGGTATCAGTACTCAACGTTCGAATAACTACGCTACGTAAGCAATGTAAACTGTTTACACTATGACGTGCTGTTACGAGCAACGTGTTCTGTTTTTGGGCATATTGCTGCGACACTGGCCCCGCCCCCTTGTCACATCTCCCTTTAGTTTCTGTGATCTGTGGTTATTTCTTTCTTTCAGGAGAACCAAAGTAACCGACATAGCTCGCAGAATTGCTAAAATCAAGTGGCAGTGGGCGGGGCACATAGCTCGTAGAGACGATGGCCGTTGGAGCAGGAAAGTTCTCGAGTGGCGACCACGGGCTGGAAGACGTAGCGTGGGCAGGCCTCCTACTAGGTGGACCGACGATCTGGTAAAGGTCGCGGGAAGAGCCTGGATGCGGGCAGCGCAGGACCGTTCATTGTGGAAAACCTTGGGGGAGGCCTTTGTCCAGCAGTGGACGTCATTTGGCTGAAACGAAGACGAAGTGGTTATTTCTTATCAAAGTTATCTTCCAGATAGTTAACAACTCACGTGTATACTGGCGCGGCCTTCTTCCTCGCCCTCGGCCTCGCCGCCACTTTCTTCTTCCTCGCCACCGCCTTCTTCCTCTTCTTCTCCACACGATTTGGCTATTATATTGGCATACGACATGTAGAGGAGATCCTCCTGGAACATTGATTACGTTATCGTTAAATAAAAAGGAACAAATTATAAAAATACTAGCTCTCCGCTCGCCCACGTGGAATTTTGTCTGTCACAGAAATACGTTATCGCGCGCGTCCCTGTTTCAAAAATAGGGATAAAAACTATCCTATGTCCTTTCCCGAGACTCAAACTATCTCTATGCCAAATTTCATCAAAATCGGTTCAGTGGTTTTGGCAGGAAAGAGAGACAGACAGACAGACTTAGTATAGATGCAATATTAAAATCATTGTTTAGTAACTGAAATTTGAATCATTGGTCCTTCGAGCCGGATCTGACCCAGCGACTCGGGTTTACTGTATTTTTGGGATATAGAACAGAAGAATTAGGTGAGTTTTTGTGACATATTCAGGTCTCCTCTAAGTCCATTCAGACTGCTCTTCAAACCACTGATCGGAAATAGGAATTCGAGTATTTCTCGTCTCACTTTGTACCTCTAGCATCAACAACTTTCGTTTTCGAATCGTTTGCGTATTCGATAAAATTCGATACTCAGCCTTCGAATTCAACGATAACGTGACAATTTTGTTTGTCAAAATTAGTTTTGTACTACTATTTCTCATACTGAGTTCACTTTACGTTACTTTCAGAGGGGCTATGTTTAAGTTTTCATACTAAATCTTTTGATGGCGATTCGAATACGCAAACGATTCGAAGTCGAAAGTTTTTCGTGCTACAGGCATAATTATGCAGCACCATGCAGCAGGTGTATCATTTAATGTCCAGTGCAGGAGCACGACTTTCTCAAATTGCCCTACACCTCCCACGCTAGCCAGATTGGTTGGGGAACCTTGATGATCGCATATTCCACCCTTAGTTGACTTCCACGGGAAAAGTAGGGGTTATCTTTTAAAGGCATAAAATGTGTACAAAACCCCTTATTAAAAAGTGTTGCGCACGCTTTTAAATTTTACCACCAGCACCCTTGATCCCTTGCATCTGATTCTTACCTGTAAAGCGCCGGACCGTTCCGTCATGGCTCCCCTGCAGAATGTGGTAACCAGCTGAGTCAGAGGGTCAGGCTTGCCTTCCTCTTCTACCACGTCGCTTTTCTTCAACTCCGCGTCTTCGAATGATTGCTGAAAGTTAATTAAAAGTTGGTTTACGTCATGTTTGAGATTTTTGAGGGCTACTAGAGTCTTTTGATTTTCCCCTATCTGAAATTTTCGCTGCAAAGCTACTATACCTTGTCCAAAATAGTTATTTTTCGACAATAGTGAAGATAGATACTTACTGTAAGATCCTCGATCATAACTTCTTGACCAACATTTTCTTCTTCCAACCAAAGCTCGTAGTACGTCCGCGCAAAGATGTTACACGCTCTATGCCTGTAATATAAAATGTAAATATTTAATTTAAATATGTACCATCGGCAACAGTGTTAACTATCCATTGCCTGACATGTCGTCTCGTTCTATCGCAAAGAATCACCATTTGATGAGAGCGAGAGCAAAAACGGAAATGGATAGTTAACAGTGTGGCCGTGTGTACGCACGAAAAAATATGATGTTCTTTTTTGTTTATAATGATGATGATTTAAGCTTAAGCTCATCATCATTCATCATCATCAGCATCTCAGCCATAGTACGTCCACTGCTGACCATAGGCATCCCTCAATGCTTTCCATGTAGGCCGGTTGGTAGCGGCCTGCGTCCAGCGCCTTCCTGCTACCTTTACGATGTCCTCGATCCACCTTGTGGGTGGACGTCTTACGCTTTGTTTTCCAGTATGCGGCCTCCACTCTAGAACCTTGCTGCCCCATCGGCCGTCAGTCATCATCATCGTTTTGTTATTATAATCATAATAACATTGAAAAATCACACATTTCATGCACCTCAAACGCCATACATACCGACTTATCTTATACAGGTGTATAGATCTTAAACAAGCCATGGCTGCGCGCTTCCTTGCCGCGCATAGTACTCTCTTCCAGTTATTCGATCTTTGTTTAGGCTTAGTAGCCTGGATAGTCCAAAGCAGCATGCACAAACACGTCAAACAACATTTCAGACAATATTAATAGATAGTTAACACTGCTGGGTTGCACCATCTTACTTTAACTTTGACAAAAGTCAAAATCCTGTCAAACTCCATACAAAAAACACTGGTTATCGTTATAGTTACGGTCAAAGTTAGGTGGTGCAACTCACCCTTAGAAGATAAAACAAAACTGCTAAACATGATGCTTCACTTTCCCGCCAAAAAGTCCATCATGTTAAGAGTAAATTTTGACACTTATACTGTCTCATTTGTTTGAGTTGAAAGTGAGAGAGAGATAAATAACAAAACCTATGTAGTCCTATGGAGTAGATTTTTATTTTCAAGCGATAAGACATGGACTCATATGCGACTCTATTGAAGAGGCAGATATTTAAGGCAGATACATACAATTTGTTGCAAAAGAGTTAGTGGGAAACTACAATAACTAATGACAGGCAAATATTATTTAATAAATTCAAACTCGACCTTGAAATCGACACTTAGATACTCAGATATGTTTGAACGAAGCTCAAAATGGTATTTCAAGCATAGTTTCAGGGTTTTGAATGGTTGAATATGATTCAAATTGAATACAGTTTTGAGTTTCGTTCTGTAATTCAGATCTCAATGTCTGATACGTGAATCTCGTTTCATGACACAGTCCCAAGATCGGTCATCTATTCAAGGGTTAGTCATAACAATAATCACTCTTACGCCACTGCACACAAGGTCTAAGGTCCACTGAACCTGGTCAACGAGTGGAGAGACAGCTGCCTGAAGCAAGCTATGACAGCGCGCTTGCGTTGTATCGACACGACCGATCGGTAGACGTTTTTACTCATTTGTTGAGGGTGGTCAATCTATATAAACATAGATACATAAATATATAAATAATTTATACAGAAAAATAAAAATGTAACTAAAAATGAAATACATATTTAAATGTTGACGATATAATCTATCAGAAAATGTAACTTTTTCTATGGGGGCAACCATAGATTGTCCTTTATCCAGTGAGCACGATGTACGGAAAGGACGCTGATTCAATACTTCAAAGGTTTCAAAACTCACCATATGCAGTCCAAAGAGCACTTTGCTCATGGCCACTATCCTTTCCACGGTATCATCGATGATCTTGGCTTTGTTCTCAGCGGTGTCTGCTGTGATGTTAGCTTTGCTCTTAGACCCTAGCTTGCTGTACAGGTAGTGTTGCCAGGACATCTCGTCCGCTGGGTCGATCTTGTCTGGCAATGTCAGTTGGGTCTTGGCGAACTCGGCTACGTCTTGCTCAGTCATTTTCTGTTGAATAAAAGGTTAATTTAGAATGGTGGTTAAGTTTTATCGTAATGTTTGTTTTTTAACCAAAACTTCAGCTGCTGGACAAAGGATTCCTCTAAGGATTTCCACAACGAACGGTCCTGGTGCTTCCTGTGACCTCCAGATCGTCGGCTCACCAAGTGGGATTATGTTAAAGTGAGATGCAGTCTAGGATGGTAGTGACTACTATGTACCATGATGATACATACTTGAAATGTAAGTGCCTATTCACTTTCGCCTTGAAAAGGTCCGGATTATAATGTTCGGGAAAGACAGAAGCAGGCAGTGAATTCCAGTCCCTACCTGTTCGCATTATAAATGAGTTAGCAAAACGCTTAGTGCGAGCTGGTGGATGTCAACTTCACTAACTCCACTACCGAACTTCTTTTCTCTTCTATTCTAGTCCTACCTTCAAGAAACTGCTCTTGCAGTGCTGATCTAACTCCTGCCAGCGAACAATTTGCACTAACGAACTTCTTTTCCTTTCTATTCTATTCCTACTTTCAAGAACCTGTCCTTGCAGTAGTGTACCAACTCCTGCTAAATGCCAGCGAAGAATTTGAACTAACAAACTTATTTTCTCTTCTATTATATTCCTATTTTCAAGAAGCTGTCCCCACACTGCTATATAGACTCCTGCTCCCTGCCAGCGAAGAATTTGAACTAACGCACTTCTTTTCTCTTCTATTATATTCCTACCTTCAAGAAGCTGTCCTTATATTGCTGTACTAACTCCTGCTTCCATCCAGCGAACTTCTTTCTCTTCTATTATTTTCCTACCTTCAAGAAGTTGTCCTTATATTGCTATACTAACTCCTGCTTTCTTCCAACGAACTTCTTTTTTATTCTAATCTATTCTTACCTTCAAGAACCTGTCCTTGCAGTGCTGGACCAACTCCTGCTCCCTGCCAGCGAAGAGATTCAGTCCGACTGGCAGTAGTCTCTTCAGACACGCCACCATGAGAGACGCTTGCACTTCCTTATCCTTGTCCCTCTTCTTGTCACGATGTTTCTTCTTCTTCTGCAAGTTATAAAAGTTGCATGAGTTTGAGTATTGAATTAGAACTCCATCTCTTTCACACTCATACACTTTATATCTCCATCCCACTCAAATTTTGAGCTGTATATGCAGGAAATTCCGTCAATTGATTTATTTTGGTCCCCAAAGATTTCCAGAGTGAAAATATCTCATTACTCCCTCTTTACTAAAAATTGTTTCACAATTTACTGTTATAAAAGAAAAAAAAACACTGAGAATTTGTTCGTAATAATCATAGCTGGGCACCGTTAATCAAATAGTTAACTTCGTTAATCGTTAAACCGTTAATAAAAAAATTAACTTCGTTAAACGTTAAAACGTTACATTTCGCAAGATTTAACGCAAGTTAACGTTAATCGTTAATCCGTTAACACATAATAATAATAAAACGAAAAAAATAATTGTATGCAAGGAAATAATTTCGAAAGCTTGTATCGCTCATAGAATTTATTCCTCTTTTATGTTTGCACTACAAGCTTGCGAAATTATTGAACTTAGGCTTGCATAAGTAGTTACAATATTTTTTTTCGTTTTAGTACAACTGCATTTCAGAATAAAAGCTCGTTTTTAAACGTTTTTTTTTAATTGTTATAATTTTATTTTACACTTTTTAGTAGTACCTATCTCAATTTTAGAGCCTTGGTTCAATTAAAATACAATTTATCACCAAAGTGCTCGAAAAGACAAATCCAGCAAACGCAAACTCGATAAGTTTCCGCCGTTTTGTTTAGGAATTCCTATGGCCACCTCCTGACACCATCATCAGGACTCTGGACATCATCTAGTACTAAAGTGCTCGATAAGACAAATCCAACGAACCCAAATTCGATGCGATGCCGCCGTTTCATTTAGGAGTTCCTATGGCCACCTCAATGGTTCTCACTCCATCATTAGACCAGCTCAATGGTACCATAACATTGCGTTGTCATCGTATTTATCCATTATTATGTCCAACAGTTCAGGAGTGGGGCCAACAAATGGTATATTTAAACCATGTTCTACATTATAAGCATAGGACCATACCTAGGTACCATTTAGAGAAATGACATAAACACAGTCATGTTTCAATGGGATTTCTACCAGTTAAGTTGTAGTGTTGTCGCATAATCGATCACGGATCGATTATTAATCGATATTGCCAAATAACGATTTATCGATTAACAATTTGATTAATCGATTTTATTGATTACCATCATTACTATTATTTGATTGTTAATTCAATTCCTTATTTTTAGCAATATAATCGATTATTGCAATCGAATAATCGATTATGATTTATTCGGTATACATACTTACTAAATCGATAGAATCGGCTAGTTGCCTAAAAAAATTTTTTTAGTCCGTTAATGTTTAATATCAAAAAATATTGGACACGTATATTTTTATTTGTCAATCTAACAAATAATTACATAGTTATGGTGCGTTGAAGTTGCGCACGACGTCACAACGTGCGGCATTTTTAAGCAAGCGTTGACGTCACGGGCCTCTTCTTATGAACTTTGGGGCGCTTTATCTCTTTAAATTTTCATTAGTTTGAAAAAGTGAAAAATACGTGTAGAGTATTTTTTGATAAGTTAACTGACGGACTAATTAAAACTCTTGCTTTTTGACCCAGGCAACATCCCCATTGATAGTAATATATGATACAATACTCTCAATATGATCCATAAAAGCAATCTAATTGACCTAATACTATTTTTATTACAATAATGTGCTGTGAAATACTATGGAAACTTTGCATATTCAACGACCTCTATCTCCGTATCCTCGCGTATTTCAGGGTTGTTGTCATACTATGAAATGAAGTACTAGTATTAAGCTTTAATTTAGTATACTTTTTGTTTCTGTTGGTTTAACGCCCAATATGCCCATCATCCTTTCAGCTCAATCGGTTGAGGAAAACTGGTCTTAAATTCAGTTGCAAGAATTATCCCACACATACTAACAAGTGTCGTTAGTGATCTGGTTACAAAAACTATTGTTTTGGGTTCTAGAAGTTCTGGCAGCCCGAACGTACTTGTCAGAACGCGTTTTTCAGCGTGCCTGCTGTATCTTTTTGGTAAATAGTAGGTACTAGATTAACGATTAACGGACTTAGGATAATTTAACGGAAGTTAACGGGTCCGTTAACATTTTTCAAAGTTAACTTAAAAGTTAATCCGTTAATAGAAATGTTAACTTCGTTAATTAACGATTAACGGATTAACGAGTTAATGCCCAGCTATGGTAATAATAATATATTTAAAAACTAAGTAGGTATAGAACATGCCTAAGTTTGAAAAATAGAACCGAAAAGACATACTTTAGCAATAATAAGTATTATCATAATGATCTTATATCGTACGACATACAAAATATGAATATAGCTGATATATTATTGGAAAATTAACTATCTATTAGCAAATTAGTTTTAAAAGGTTAAGTATTGTAAAAAGTATTTAGTAATATTAAAGAAGTAAGTATTGGAAGCCATTCCGTAAAAGCGTATTTAAGATAAGCATAATTACTATTTAGTACTTTTAGCGTTAATTAAAATTATTATGTCTATAAAAAATCGGTCCTAAGAGTTTAGAATAATATTCAAGTTAATTAGGATCATTCAGTTTAAAAAAACTGGGAAGTCGTATCGCAAAGAGTAAAATGTGTTAGAAACGTTTGCACAAACATGTGTGTACATAGTTTGACACACGTCTGTCGAGCGTAATACGCTTGAATATAAATTAAAGCCTGTCATTAATATTGATTGCAATATTTAAGTTCTCAGACCAATCATTGGCATCATTCTTTTTATTCTATTTTTCATTTTTAAATTAATTTTTATATCAAAAGACCTAAGTTTAAAACTACGTATGTAGTCTTATTTCTCGTGTGCCGAAGGCTTAGCTGAAATTATGCAAAAATGACAATGCACATTTGTATGAGTATACATGAGCGTCTAATGTCATGATCCTGTAAGAAAATTAGGCTGAGTTGCATCACCTTAACTTTAACCGTAACTATAACTTTAACCGGTATGGAGTTTGACAGACTTTTGACGTCTCCCGGGACAAAATTGGCCTTCACCCGTTGAGTTTTTATTGGCGGTCAAGCTGTAGATCCTGGCTACACAGGAGTTGCAGAGGTGGGAACGAGAGGTGTGAATAGTCCCGTAAACTTTTGAGTTTTGTTATAGACTAAGATGGTGTAACTCAGGGTTAGTGTATTACAAAATCCAAGATCAAAAAGCGCGGGCAAATCTGTAGACATTTTGTCCGACTTACTTTACCGCCACCTTGCGGCGCGCCCTCGACAACTGTTGTCACCCGTCTAGTCGCTGTGGGCATAATCAGCACCTACGAACGCAAGGTAAATGAAAACGAAACAAATGAACACAAATAAATGAACGTTGATTCATATTGTACAGGTGGCAGTGTCGTGTTAATTTGTTCTGAGATGTGATGTGTCAAGTATGACACTGAGTTAATTTGACAAGTGGGTGGAATAAAGGGTGTATTTAAAAGTGCGTTGATTTGATGTGGAAATAAGTATTGAATTTAAATAATGGTATTCTTTTTAGGCAGCATATAAGTTCGATTGCCATATTTGTCACCATTTGTCTAGTTGTCCAGCACTAAACAGACCCAGCTATGACATTGTTAGGAGGAAGCTACTATCAATGAGGGTTTTCGCGGATGAAAGATCCACTAGATGGCGGGACGTGGATGTGGGGTCTGACTGCTGCGTGATTGGTGGATTTTGACATATCTGTCAATGTCATGTCAAAATAACCAATCATGCAGCATTTGGACCTCGCGTCTACGTATTGCCATCTGTAGGCCTAAGATGCGCGCCGCGATAATCGGTTATCACGCCATTTTATCGATTTTGCCCATGCATTTTGACGTCGATAAAAGTTATCACGGCGCGCATCTTAGGCCTACTGGCGGAATTTCCATTCGCGGAAACCCTCATTGAATTATTAGTTCCATTTTTGACGTTTCAGAATCGTTTGAATATAGAAGTTGGAGTTGACTTTTCATGCCCACTAAGAAAAATGCACTCTATTTATTTGAAGTAAAGGCTTGACTTCTTTTTGAACTGAAAGAACATTTAAAATAGGAATTACTAAATGGATGAAAATTGTAGATGAACAATATGAATCATCTGTGTGTACAGATAATATGAATCAATTCTATGTGTACAAATATAATGGCCGTGAAAAATATTAATACGTGTGATGTACAATATTAATACATATGCCAGTTGCTTTAAGACTTAGTTTTGTGTCTCACCATGTTGTCGATTTCGTTGGCAGAAATGAAGTTCTGCTCCTCCTTGAGGAAGTATTGCGATTTCGACCAGATGTTAAATATTTCTGCTACGTGGTTGTATAATTCTTCAGCCTCTGTAAGAGAAAAGAAGAGATTAATAAAATTACTAAATGATGATGATGACGATGATGCTTTACCTCCTCTTGGTCTAAGATGTGTTTGCAGTAATAATTGGAAACCCTAAAAAAGCTGACATTAATGACTGAGTTTCTGTGCTTCTTCACAGCACTGGCATATTGGCTCTGAGCACGATTACAGCGCCAACTAGCGTCTACAACTTTGTGGGCTCTGTCACATTGACATTTAGGTCGTATATTTGTGAAAAAATAACAAATATTTTCGACTAATAAATTGTTGTGATACCACGATTTGGGTGGAAAAAAGGTTTTGAAATCATTTTGGTCATTCAAATCAAATGAGGTAAGTCCAAAAAGTGTGTTTAATTTTGATTGTGTCAGGGTTTGTTTACTTCATTTATAGTTGTAGTTTTACAGTAAAACAAAAATAAAAAGCTACTTTAACGGTTTCATTATATAACAGTAAATATATTTATTACCTTGTAACTGCCGGAACACAACAATGCTGTTAACATTATTGTTGTGGCGACAGACTAAGGCTGCGTTGCTTCACCTTTTGACCGTAACTATAATGATAACCGGAGTTTTTTATATGGAGTTTGACAGATTTTTGACGTTTGTTAAAGTAAGATGGTGCAACCCAGCCTTAGATAAGATGGCGGCAGCCTGGCAACTAACCAGGCGAGAACAAGCCCTACCGCCTACCAAACCGAACAGAAATTTTGCCCCTGTTAGGAATCAAACCCGGGACCTCTGGGTGTGAGAGAGGTGGTCTTACTACTAGACCATAGAGGCAGTCTTCTTACCTTGATGAACCCTCGCAAGCTCTCCTCCTTATGGAACATAGTATCGGTCCGCTTCCTGACTCTTTCAGCGAGAGGCAGGAAGGAATCCCTCAACAACTCCTCAGAACTGTTGATGATGATCTGCTGGGTATACGTCGCAATACGAGTCATCCATGGAGCGCTCTCGTTGCCAATGTTCTTCTTGATGAGTTTCAGAACGTTCTTGAGCAGTTGGTTCATATGTTCTGCTGTCACCATTGTGACGTGGTTTCTGTAATAACGTAGAAGATTATAAAAGACTAGCTTTTAACCGCGGCTTGGTCCGCGTGAATATAAGTATTGTTCTGTCACAGATACCTCTTTCTATTTGTGAAAACTATGTGAGTACCTATAGTCAGTAGGTTTTAAGTTTATCGCAAACAGATATATGTATCTGACTGACTGACTTTATGCCTCTTTTTTAAGTAGGACATATTTTTGTTGTAAAATGTCAAAGGGACAATTAATATGCTAACATAATGACTAAACAACCCATTTGGCCAGAGCATGGAGAGTTAAGCCGAATCCTCCATTTGCCTCTAGTCTTATTAGATTAGGTTAGGGCCTTGCTCCTGGAGTCTAATGCCCGTTTTCACCATCAAACCCTAATTTTTAAGTGACCCCTTTAAAAAGAAAATTCCTGTTGTGTGTTACCATAGGGGTCACTTAAAAATTAGGGATTGATGGTGAAAACGGGCATAAATGTCCTGTAGGATAGGATGTTACGCCGCAATAACCTTTTATCGCGCCATTTTATCAATTTTACGAGATAAGCATAAATAATACGTTTTGTCACCAATAAGATTTTGTCACGGCGATCATCCTAGCCCGGCATATCATGAATAATTTTATTTAAAACTTACCCGCCAGTAGGGGTGACGTTGTCCGGTCCCTGCGCCCACCAAAATGGTAGATACGAGCACAGTAATGGCAACACCACGTCTATAATGTGGGGAGCCTCGTTGTAGGTCTTGTCTGACTCCACGAACTGGTCCACCTCGCTTAGGATTGTCTCTAATGTGGGCATGGATTGCTCCATTTTGGCCATGATGTCTGTAAAGATGAAATGTTTGTTTAGCCGTTATGACCGTAGGGAAAGAGTTATTTATTTAACAACGTTATCTAAATTATATTTCGTTTTATTATCTTAAATCAAGAATCATGTGTAAGTTTATTATTATTTATTACAGTGGCTTTTAAAAAGGCGCCTTTTTTGACACGAAACAGGGTTCGAACCCACTGCCCTCGCATGTCGTCGAGTTGGTCTGTCCGATACCTTTCGCCGTTCCGTTGTTTCTATTCCATTTCTGGTTAAATCGGGACCATTCCCTTTCGTTCCCACCGTTGCTACTCCTGTGTAGCCAGGATCTACAGCTTGACCGCCAACAAAAACCCAACCAGTGAAGGTCAAGCTTGTCCCGGGGGAAACTTAATGTTAAATTGTCATTGGACCCGCAACGCAATAATCAGAAGAACATAGGAGTTCGAAGTTATAGATCGTTTCATCCACGAAGACGCACTCCACCAACATTTGGTCGAGGGAAACGTGGGGTGCGGGGAGTTTGACCCGAGCAATCCGAGCGTCATTATTGTAGTATGCGTGTGCACTCATTGATAATTTAGCATGTACCGATAACACTCAAACATTAGCGGAAGAATGGTGGGGCGCGTCTTCGTGGATGACACGATCTATAAGGTTCTGTTTCTTGTTCATATCTCACCTTGAGCTTCCAGCGAGTGGTCGGCGATGCGGTTGAGTAGCGAAAACTGGTTGTGCTTGTTGAGATGCGGCTCCAAGAACGCGACGGGGAACGTCGAGCTAAACGCTCCTAAGCAGGAGCCCTGTAGTAGACAACCAACCAATAACAATTAAACACTGTAGAACACAATTTCTTTGAAAGAACACGCAATTATGGCCTTGTATTATGTTTCTAGTATATTTATAGGTGCATAATGAAGTTAGGTAATGCAAAGTTTTGACACATTCAATTGAGATGGCATATGACACTCATTACGTTAGGTTCCTTTCCTACGGGAATTCAGTTTTGCGGGAACCTGCATTGGGACTATCACGTGAAAATACAAGACGTGTAGGTTTGAATTACAAATTCGAACGGATCGGTTTTTTGAAGGACATTGCAAAAGGGATGTTCGTTTGAATGTTATTATTAAAACACGTATACTAAACAAAGTCCTGCAAAAGTGTTCTTGTAAAAAACGGGATGGCTCCGTGCGATAGAACCCTTATTCTTTTCCCTTGCCCATTCGGAATTGTCTTTCCTTATTTTGCTATACCTAATATAATCATCGTCTTAACTATCCTTGCCTAGTCGTCATCGTCGTCTTTCATTCCAGAAACGTGTGTATGTGGACCCAAAAGAGAAGAAAGCTATACATACCAGAGCAGGCTTGTTCCTCTCGATTTCAGTCTTGAGGTACTTGCGGTCGTGGGTGAGAGTAGCATCTGTTCCCAGGGCATATAACGATCCCAGCATCTTGTACGAGGCCACTTGAATCTCGTCCACTGGAACAAGATGGGAATAAATAAATATGACGTAAATTGGATAGTTGAGCAGTAAATCCAAAATACAAATTCCATTAAAACAACACGGAACTTTTGCCCTGAAAACACAATTATTATTTTTATTGCAAATAATATTTTTTTATTCGAGGTTTTCTGATGATTTTTTAATTAGTTAAATAAATAGATACTAATATTTTATTTATTTAA